AGGTTCAGTCTGTTCTGTGGACAGAGTTCTGGGAACAGAATGAACCAGTGCCTCCAGCAGGAGCTCTGCCCAGGCTCCTTGGAAACCGGTTGACGCCTCCTGCATAAAGAATCTCACACCTGCTTCAGATCACTAACTACTCACCAGAAACTTCCAGAGAAAGCCAAACAGCTTTCTAGCACACACTGCCAGGAAATTCCTTTTGATGACTAAGGTGAGCCCTCTCTGCTGTTGCTAAAGCTTGTTTTAACTTGGTAACATTTTCTAGAGAAGGTGCATCAGATACAATAACTTTCCATAAAACACTTTTTAATGTAATTTTTCAACAAGGGGCCCAGTGCACGATTTCATGCACCTTGAAAGAATGTGGGCCTTGAGGCTGCAGTGGGCACAGGGGCGGGTCTTGATCCCTCCTCTGTGCCCCACCCCTCCCCCCCGCCCCCCGCCCCTCCACCACAGCTGCCTGTCCCTGTCTGCCCACACCCTGCTCCCGCGGCTGTCAGTCCTACTTGCTAACAGCCTGGAATGATTAAGGTCGGCGCCAGCAGCAGGTGTGAGTGGGGCCTGTGCTGACAGCAGGTGTGCATGGCTGCTGCTGCTCTGATGGCCTCTCAGGAGCAGGGGGAGGTGGAGAAGCCCTCAGGGGTGATCAGGGCCAGCAGCTGCTCTGAGCACCCACAGACAGCACCGAGTGATTGGGACCTGTGCCAGGCACTAGCAGCAAGTGCAAGCAGTGGCTCTGGCACCGGCTGCAGGTGCAAGTGGGCCTAGTGCCGGCAGTGGGTGTGAGAGGTGGCTGCCAGTCCCCATCAACCTCTGGAGCAGGGGGAGGTGGAGAAGCCCTGAGGGGCGATTGGGGCTGCCAGCCACTGCTTGCACCCGCTGATGGTGCTGAGTGATTGGGGCTGGCAACAGGTACGAGCAGGGACTCAAGTGCCAGCAGCAGGTGTGAGCACTGGGCAGGACCATGGTGTGTGGGAGCAAAGAATTTTCAGGAACCACCAGAAGCTCACCCCAATGACAGTGACAGGCCTTGGTCTGGTGCCCCTACTCACCTGCTCCACCATCCTGCCACAGCCAACGTCCTCCTGCTCCACATGTGGCCCCTGGTGGTCAGTGCACATCATAGCGACCATTTGTTTGGTTGTTCTGCTATTCAGTCTATTTGTATATTAGGGTTTTATATATATAGATTACAATTGACATTCAACATTATTTTATACTAAAGGCCCAGTGCATAAAATTCATGCATGGGGGAGAGGGTGGTCCCCTCCGCCCAGCCTGCACCCTCTCCAATCTGGGTCCCCTCAGGGATGTCAGACTCCTAGTTTAGGCCTGCAGATCAGGCCTAAAACAGCAGTTGGACATATCCCTCACAATCTGGGAACGATAACTCCTAACTGCTCACCTGCCTGCCTGCCTGATCACCCCTGTCTCCTTGCCAGCCTGATCACCCCTAACTGCCTCTTCCTGCCAGCCTGATTGCCCCCAACTGCCAGCCTGGTTGCCCCCAACTTCCCACCCTGCCAGTCTGGTTGTCCCCAAATTCCCCCTGCCCCTCCCACTCCCCCCCTGGCCTGGTCACCCCATACAATTTGCTGTTTACTTGTTTGGTCATTCCTCACTAACCCACCCTGCTGGCCTTGTCACCTCACACAGCCTGCTGTTCGATCATCCGTCTGGTTGTTTTGGTTGTGAAGACCCCTGGCTTTTTATATATTAGACTTACTTTCAGGTGTATAGCAGAGTGGTTAGGAAATTATTCAACTTACAAGGTGGTCCTGCAATAACTCAAGTACTGGTGTCATATACATAGTTATCACAATATTACTACTCTATTCCCTACATTGGATTGTACATCTCTATGATCATTCTGTCACTACCAATTGGTACTTCTTAATCGCTTCTCCTTTCACCCAGCACCTCTGTCAACCATCAGTTTGTTCTCTGTATCTGCTAGTTGGTTTGTTTTTATTTGGTTGTTTATTCTATTCTTTAGATTTCACAAATGAAATCATATGGTATTTGTCTTTCTCGGGCTGACTTATTTCACTTAGCATAATACCCTCTAGGTCCATCGATGTTATCACAAATGGTAAGGTTTCATTTTTTATGACCAAGTAGTATTCCATTGTATGTATATATATGTCTTTATCCAGTTATCTGTTGATATACACTTAAGTTGCTTCCATATCTTGTTTATTGTAAATAACACTGCAATGAGCATGTGGCACATATATTTTTCCAAATTAATGTTTTGGACACATACCCGGTTATAAGGCACTTCCATGTTTTGTTTTAGGAACCTCCATACTATCTTCCACAGTGGCTGTACCAGGCTTTATACACACCAACAGTGCTTGAAGGCTCTCTTTTCTCTACATCTCACCAGCATTTGTTTGTTGATTTATTGATGATAGTCATCTGGCAGGTGTGAAGTGATATCTCTGAAGGGTCTTAATTTGCATCTCTCTGGTGATTAGTGACTTGGAGGCCATCTTATGTCCTCTTTGGAGAAGTGTCTATTTTAGTCTTCTGCCCATATTTTAATTGGGTTTTTAGGAGGGGGTGTTAAGTTCTGTATGAATCTTGGTTATTGATCTCTTAGCTGATGTTTCACTAGCAGATATTTTATTCACTAGGTTGTCTTTTCATTTCATTGATGATTTCCTTGCTATGCAAAAACTTTTTAGTTTGATGTAGTCCCATTAGTTCACTTTTTTTCCCCCCTCTAAGAGATATTTCAGAAAAAAATTATTGCTAAGAGAAATGTCAGAGTTTATTGCTTATGCTTTCTTCTAAAAGTTTTATGGTTTTGGGTCTTTTAAGTCTTTAATCCATATTGAGTTTATGCTTATATATCGTCTAAGAAGGTGGTCTATTTTCATTTTTTGCATGTATCTGTTAGATTTTCTAACACCGTTTAATGAATAGATTGTCTTTAACTCTATTATATATTCTTGCCTTTTCTTTGGTCAGATTTTAATTGTCCATGAGGTGTGTATTTCTTTCTAGATTTCTCTTCTGTTCCATTGTTGTGTCTGTTTTTATGCCCGTATTACACTATTCTGATTACTAGGGCTTGTAGTATAGTTTGATATCAGGTAGTGTGATCCCTCCAACTTTGTTCTTCTTTCTTGAGATTTCTATGGCTATTTAGGGTCTTTGTGGTTCCATAAAAATTTTTGGATTTTTTTGTTCTACTATGAAAAACACTATTGGTAGTTTTATAGAAATTGCATTGAATCTGTACATTGCTTTGGGTAGTATAGATATTTTAATGATGTTAATTCTTCCTATCCATAAACACAGTATATGCTTCCATTTACTTGTATCTTCTTCAGTTTATTTCTTTAGTGTCTTACAGTTTTCTGAGTGCAGGTCTTTTACCTCCTTGGTTACATTTATTCCTAGGTTGTTGTGGATGTTTTTTGAGGCAATTGAAAATGGGATGTTTTCTTAGTATCATTTCTGATAGTTCATTAGTGTATAAAATACAACCAATTTATGAATATTTATTTTGTGTCCCACTAATTAATAACTTCATTTATCAGTTCTATTGTTTTCTGGTGGAATATTTAGGGTTCTCTATACAAAGTATAATGTCATCTGCAAATAATTACAGTTTTACTTCTTCCTCTCCAATTTGGATGCTTTTTATTTGTTTCTTATCTGATTGCTATGGCTAGCACTTCTAATACTGAGTTTAATATGAGTGAAAGTGGACATTCCTATCTTGTCACTAATCTTAAGGAAACCACTTTAAGCATTTCTCTGTTAAGTATAATGTAGTTGTAGGTTTGTCAGATATGGCCTTTGTTATGTTAAGGTATGTCTCCTCTATCCCCACTTTGCTGAAAGTTTTTATTAAATATGGGTGCTGGATTTTCTGCACCTATTGATATGATCATATGATTTTTATTCTTTCTTTTGTTTATGTGGTATATCAAGTTAATTAATTTGCAGATATTGTACCAACCTTTCACCCAGGAATAAATCTACTTGATCATGGTATGTGATCTTTTTATTGTATTGCTGAATTCAGTTTGCTAATATTTTGTTAAGAATTCCCTGACACTCTGACTGTTTGGCCTGGGTTAGGTCTCCCTGTCCTATGTTATGGTTCTACTTCCCTTCACTGCCCTGACCACAGAGGCAAGTGAATAACTATCTGTACAGATGAATGTTTTCATGCCTCTCAGCTGAAATCTCCATGAGGGCAGGAAGCACAGAAGTGTTGTTTCACTGTATTCCTAGAACTTAGCACAGTGTTGATGAGATAACAGCAGTTCACGAAGGATTTCTTGAATGGGCGTCGTAAGCATGAGTGTTCAAATGGGTTGGGTGAATAGCAGAGCTGGGCACCGGCCCAGAACTCTCAGTTCTTGGAGACCAGACTGAAACTTCAGAAGCTTCTGCTGTGCTGTGTACTGGCATGCAACGGCCTCCATCCACAGCCATCCTGTCTCTCCAGCAGCGGGAGCAGCAGCGGGAGGGCCAGCAGAGCTCTCTGGACACTGGCCCTAACGGTGTCTGTGAACTGGTTGGAGATCACGGATCCTCCTGAGCCTGGTGGTGGTGGCAGGAGGCGGGTGGGAGGAGGCATTGAATTAACCCAAATCATATGTCCTTGGTGGGCATTTGGCCCACTTTCTCGTACACTCTGCCAAGGCCTGTGAATAAGCAACAACATTCTGTAAGGGATCTAGGCAGTCAGAGTGAGTGCGCAAGAATGAAGGAGGCAAAAGCAAGGCATGACAACCTGCAGGGAAGCAGAACTAAACTCCTCTGTGGAGCCTGCGGACAGAGCCCACCCGGCTCAGGAGCCTGCAAGCCCATGCTGTGTCCCAGCCTGGCTGTGGCCCTGGGGAGCCTGCTGCCGTGTCTGCCCACCTCTGAGAGGCTTGGTCCCTCACTTCACGTCCTCTGCCTGCCACCGCCACGAGCGGCTGATAGGAGGCTAAAAACACTGACAATAGAAATTTGGTTTCTTCTTCTAGACAGAAAGCTTTGGCGTCCACCGGAGGAAGAAGTGTGCAAGCTGCATGTGACTGGTTGGTATAAAATGCTACATTGATAACACGACACTTGATCAACTCTAAATAGATGTGGATGAGCAGGGTTGTGGCCTCTTTAGTGAACCTTGGGGGTGGGGCGAGGGAGACCCTGAGTGGACCATTCATCCAGCCAGCTGCCCTCTCACGCTGCCCCAGGGCGTGCTTCTTTGTGTAGCCTGGTTAGAGAGCCTCACAGATTATAGCTGCCTGCCCTCCAGCCGCTGACAGACACAGTCAAACTGTGTGGACGCTGCCCAAGTCAATTTAGGAAAATACCACCCACCTTTCAGGACATCACTGACCAGGGCAGAGCCGAGGGGCGGCTCCCAAGCATCCCTTGCCCTTGGGGGCGCTGGCTTAATCATCAGCTGAGCGGAAGGAGCCCCGGAGAAGGGCCCTGGCTTAGGAAAGGGCTGGGGTTTCCCTGAGAATGGCTCCCGGGGCGGCTTCAGGTTGTGAGGGAGCCAGGCTAAGGCACCGGGGCACAGGGTGAAGTGTGAGCGGCGAGGGGAGCAGAGGGAAAGCTGCAGCCCGTGCCTGACCCCGGCTCCCCCCAGGCTGTTCTCGCACGTGGGCGACCCCTTCCTGGACGACCCGCTGCCCCGGGAGTATGTGCTGTACCTGCGCCCCACGGGCCCCTTGGCCCAGAAGCTCTCCGACTTCTGGCAGCAGTCGAAGCAGATCTGCGGCAAGAACAAGGCGCACAACATCTTCCCCCACATCACCCTCTGCCAGTTCTTCATGGTGAGCCGCACCCCAGCCCTGCCAGACGGGACGTGGTGCCCAGACCCCAGCTGCCTGGCGGGACCCGGAGTTACAGAGTAAGAGCTGTGACCCAGTTCCAGGCCATCGGGAGTGTGCAGGTCCCGCCTCACAGACGCGTGTGCGCGTGTGCGTGTGTGCATGTGTGTGCGGTGGCCTCAGCCTCAGCCTGGGCGGAGGGTGCCCTGAGGACCGTGGAGCCAAGCTCCCCTAGCCCCTGAGTGCAGCGCCTGCTTCCCTTCCAGTGCGAGGACAGCAAGGTGGACGCCCTGGGGGAGGCCCTGCAGGCCACCGTCAGCCGCTGGAAGGGCAAGTTCTCGGTGCCACTGCCCCTGGAGCTCTACACCTCCTCCAACTTCATCGGGCTCTTCGTGGAGGAGGCCAGTGCCGACGTCCTCAAGAAGTTCGCCGCCGACTTTGCCGCGGAGGCTGCGTCCAAAACCGGTGAGCCAGGGGGGACGCGGTGCTGTGAGGAGCGGGGGGCTGGGAGGCGGCCGCAGGAAGCGGCAGAGCAGGACAAGGAGCACGTCCCCTCCCGGGAGCACTCCTCTGTGCTGCTCTGCTAACTTTCCCGAGAGACTGCCCAGGGCTTCTCCCCCACCGAGCAGAAGGAGCACACACACCTGCGCCCCATCGAGCCACTGAGCTAGGAACCTTCCTCCCTTCCCCAGCCCTCCCACGCAGGCCCCCACCCGGCTGGCGCTCCGGGCCAGGGCAGCATAGCACAGAGAGGAGAGGGGGACTCAGAACCAAGGAACGGTCATCTCCACCGAGCACGCCCTGCGACCGAGAAAGCCGCTGGACACCCCTAAGCCTCAAAAGCCGCCCACTCGTCCCTCTCCAGCAGCCCTTCTGCTCTCTCGTGGCAGCTCTCAGCCTAAGCTGCTGATTCCCACCAAAGGAGTTCGCTTACAGGGACGCTCAGGGTGCTGGTGACAGGCGACAGGCATTGTGTGTGTGTGTGTGTGTGTGTATGTGTGTGTGTGTATGTTGTGGGGGGGTGTCCCTCCTCTCTGACCACACCGGTGCAGACGAGCTCTCCGAGCTGCAGGACAGACAGACAGTGAGGTGAGGCGGTGTGTGGGCTCCCCTAGAGTGGAGTCAGCGGCCGGCGCTCAGTGGGAAGCTGCAGGGTCTCCATGAACAAGGCAGCCGGACGTGGTTCCTCCTGGCGGAGCCGGGAGCCTGGCTGAGCACAGGAGCTGGCAGAGCCCAGGAGAGAGGCCACCCCTGGAGGGTGGCTCGCCGCTTAGTAGGAAGGAGCTCACGAGGCCATGTCGCTCTTAGACGAAGGGTCCCTGCAGGGCAGGCTCCCCACCCTGGCCCCAGCAGAGAGGCCACGGGGGCCACCCATCTGCCCTCCCGCCCTCGCAGAGGGCTGAGCCAGGGTCAGAGGGACCAAGCTGCCTGCGCCATCTCATGTGGTCGAGACGGGGTCCTCCCAGCCAGCAGGGCCGTGCGGGCACCTCTTCACGGGGAAAGCCCGAGCAGGGAGCAGGGCCGGGTCGGGAGTGTGCGGAGGGCCAGCCCCCGAGATGCTCAGGCTCCTTCGGGTCCAGCCTGGAAGGTCCCTTCCCCAACCCCCTGCTCCCGGACCAGTGTCTGCTTCTGGATGTGGGTGCTTGTCATGTCACAGGGCCTGACATTCCAGAGAAATGGCCCATGGAGAGGACAGTGGTGTCCTGTGTGCATCCTCCTTTCTCCGGGAAACGGCTCCTGTTCACCCTCAGCACCACGAAAACCCCACAGACACCAAACTCCCGCTGTAGCCAGGAAACCCAGGTGCCTCACACAGGAGCAAAGCAGTTTCCCTTGGGCCTGGGCTGCTTTCCTGGCGGGAGGGAGAGACAGCCCTTCCTCTCCAAGATACTCTTCCCCCACCACTCCCTCTCTTCCCCAGAGTTGGTTTCTGTGCCCTATCTCCGCCCCCTGCTGGTGGCTTGCAGAACTGCGTACCCTGCTGTGTAGATAGAAGACAGCCATCAGGGCTTTGCCTTGGTGCTGTGGAATTTGGGGACACTCAGACTCCTGCAGCAGATAGATTCAGTGTTGCCCTCCACAGGGAGACCCATCCCTGTGACTTTGTTCATTTAACAAGGACTGAGCACTGGGATCCAGTGTGAACAGACCAGCCCTGGCCCTCCAGGCTCACACAGAGAAGCAATGCAGCATCACAGAGAAGGCGCCCCAGACCCACAGACCCGCTCCCGCTGCATCTCTGTGGGGTCTGAGCGAGCCTCTTAGTTCCTCAGCTCCCTAAACCAGCAGTCGCCGACCCTTTTGGACCCCACGGACCGCCATGGCCCCCGCTACCCTAACCCTCTCTGGCTGCAGCTTCTTCTAGGCTGGCACTCCCCACTGAGAGAGACACAGACGGGGGAGCAGAGCGGCCTGGAGGCAGGCGGCTGGCTTTGCTTGTTTCTGGGGTGTCTGAGAGGAGCGGTCTGTCTGCGTGAAGCGGGGGTTCCAGCCAGGGCACGTTGGCCACAGGGGACGGCCAGCAATGTCCGAGCCGTTTCCGGGGTCACACTTGGGCACTGCTGTGGCCTCAAGAAGGGCAGCACCCAAACAGAGTCATTTCACCCAAATGCTGTTGAGAATCCCTGTTTCAAACTTAGAAAATGATTGTTTTTCTTCATTTCTCCATCAGAGCCACTCAGAAACTAAGAGGCTTGATTTCACCAAAACCAAGGCAGCGTAGCTTTGAGAGTCGCTTGGTGACCTTTGCTCTGTTTCGCGTGAATGAGTCCTCCTCGGGCGGGCTTCCTCCTCTGAGCGGTGGGCTGCTCCTGTGGGTTGTCACGAGGGGAGCACCCTGCACGATGGCCTCCCCGCCTGCGCGGCTCCACAGACTGTGCTCCCCACCCCCCAGGTGCGGCAGCCTGTGCCCGCTGTGCAGGGGGAGGTGCGCTGTGTGACAGGGGCCCCCGCTGTGCCTGGGGAAGCAGGACTCGGTTCCCCCTCAGCTCCGCGCTGAGCCTAACAGACCTGGCTCCTTCCTTTTCCAGAAGTGCACGTGGAACCTCATAAGAAGCAGCTGCACGTGACCCTGGCTTACCACTTCCAAGCTAGCCACCTGCCCACGCTGGAGAAGCTAGCCCAGAGCATCGATGTCAAACTAGGGTGCGACTGGCTGGCAGCCATATTCTCCCGGGATATCCGATTTGCTAACCACGAGGTAATGTTGCCTGGGGCTCCGACAGGAGCAGCGGGAAGGGAGCGGGCAAAGCCAGGAGCTTGCTGCTTGCTGGGGTTGGGGGGAACAGGGGGACCATCCGGGAGCTGCTGTGGGAGGGAATCTTCCTGGTCCCTGAAGGAGAAGCTGAGTCACGGAGGTTGGGGGCTGCTCTGAAGCGGAATAATTTAGGGCCAGAGCTGACACCAGAATTCAGGGATTTTTGACAGTGAAGATGGGCAGTCCATCTAAAAACAGACCACATGGTTTGATGAAACAGTAGCCACCCAGCTTAGCTACATTTATTAATAGCACTTACATTTGTTTCCTAGTTTTTGTTTTTGTTTTTAACAGAAGAACTGACTTCTTAAAGTTTATATAGTCTTTTAACATTTCTTTTAGATTTTGTAAAATATGAAAAATTGTTAGAACCTCAGGGTCTAGACCAGACAAGCTCTCGTCGATTTGGAGTGCTGGGAACAGCAACCCAGACACAGGGGCGGGCAGGGGCGCGGGGCAGGAGCGCCAGGAGGCAGCTCCCGCTGCCCAGCGGCTGCCTCTGCCTTACCGCGTCTCTGGGAAGACACTGAAGGAACCTGGGCTGGACCTGACGGGAGACCCTGGCGTCTCCTGGACAGGGCGCAGGGCAGTGCTCAGTGGCCGGGTGGCCGCCTGCTTTCCAAGAGAAGCTGCTTTGGAGAGCCGGAGGGCACCTCAGCCAACTCTGTCCTCGGGCGCCTGCCTGGCCCACATTGGGCTCGGTTGGCACTTAGGGAAGAGACGCTCAAATGAATTATTTTTAAAAATAACATGGCCTCTTTGTCTCCTGTTTGTTAAAGCTCATTTGTCCTGTCCCCGCTGAGGGGCTCCCCGCCGGGCCCCTGCACGTGTTCACCTGAGCCCGGCGCCGGTGGCAGGAAGGCGGGGCCTCACTGCCCTCTCTGCCCCAGACCTTGCAGGTGATCTACCCCTACACCCCCCAGAATGACGACGAGCTGGAGCTGGTCCCGGGGGACTTCATCTTCATGTCGCCTGTGGAGCAGGCCAGCACCAGCGAGGGCTGGGTCTACGGCACCTCCCTGACCACCGGCGGCGCGGGGCTCCTGCCCGAGAACTACATCACCAAGGCCGACGAGTGCAGCACCTGGGTGTTCCACAGGTGAGTGCGGCGGCTGCAGGCTCCCGGAGGGTGGGGTCTGACGCTGCGGACCGAGGCCCCTGAAGACAGCCTGTGGCTCCCGGCTCCCCGGGAGAGCTGACGTGGGATGGGAGAACTGAGCCATGGAGCTCTTCCTGCCTGTCCAATGTCGGTCTGAGTTCCAGATTGGAGACTAAACTGAGGCTGCTGGGTCCCTCTGATGGCTGAAGCGTGGGTCCTGAGTTTTCATGGCTCCAGGTTTATGTCCGCGGTGTCCTGGGTCATTGCCTGGCTCCCCAGCACAGCAGCGAGGCGGCTCCTGAGACACCGCCCGGCCAGCAGGGACAGAGATTGCAAGTGTCAGGAGACCAACCCGCCCTCAGTTAGTAGGTGGCTCCGAGCCGGTGCTCAGACTGGGCACGTGAGTGTCTAGGTGACAGTGTGTGTTCAAGGAGACAGGCAACTAACTGCAGAGCCTGGAGACACACGTGGTCCTTGGTCGTCTTTGGCAATGGCCTGTGGCTAGCTTTGTGTCCCAGTAAATAAAACAGAAATAAAGGCGCCTTCTCTCTCTCTCTCTCTTTAAAATATATTTTATAGATTATATTACAGAGAGCTAGAAACCTTTATGAGAGAGAAACATCGACCAGCTGCCTCCTGCACACCCCCCACCGGGGATGTGCCTGCAACCAATGTACATGCCCTTGACCAGAATCGAACCTGGGACCTTACAGTCTGCAGACGGATGCTCTATCCACTGAGCCAAACCAGTTTCGGCCGTGCACCTTCTGTCTCTTACTGAGAGGAGCTTCGGGTCGCCCTTCCCGGACATACAGGGGTCCCACCAGTGTGTGTGTGAGGTCTGTCCTCCTCTGTGTGTGCCCAGGCCCACGTGACTGAGCTGGGAGCTCCGGGCACAGAGGTGGGCCCCACATCGTGTGGTCACCACAGAAGAGCAGCAGACAGGTTCAGTGTGTGTTCCTCCTGGCTTCCGGTCTGGTGGGAAAAGGTTGGCAGCACACACTCGAGTGGGGAGAGAACACCTTCCCTGATCCCCAGGACCCAGCAGCTCCCTCTTCCTTCCAGTCCCTCACGTGACCCCACGAACACCAGAATTTGGGGCTCAGATCAGAAGGTCGGAGCTGCCTCATGTTCCCTAAGTATTTGCTTTTTCGGAAATAAAAAAAATTGGGTTTCCAAAGTTGCCCTTTTAGCCTGTGAAAGCGAGTGAAGCATAACACTCCTGAATAAACAGGACTAAGGCTCGGTCTGAGGATCACTGCCCTTAGGTTGAGTCCTGAAAAGCAGGCTCGCACTTAGGAGCAGACAGGGAAGCCTGCTAGGTCCCGGCCCAGCCCACTCTTGTCCAGATTAGAGCTCAGGGTGAAATGAGTGCTATCCGTCCTGGGAGGGAGGGAGTCTGCGTTGTCATCTGAGCGATGACTCGCGTGCTGTTCCAGTCCTGCTGAGTGGAAACACTAACGTGAGGGATTAAGGCGCCGTGTGGAGAGGCTGAGCTTTTATTCCAGCAGTCCTCCGACCCTCCTGTTCACTAGCTGTGCGGCCTTGCCAGGCTGCTCTACCCTGGGAGCCTCCATTTGCTGATCTGCAAAGTGACTGTGATAATGAACTGCAGTCAGCTGGGGGAGGGGAGGGCTGTGGGGAGGGCCTAGCTTTGCTGGGACCAGGGCACCTGCCTAGCAGCACTGAACTGAAGTTGTCATTAGCTTTATGATTTTCTCTTCTTTCTAACCTGCGTTTTCTCGTCCTCTTTATATGCTCAGCAAGTCAATTGTCTCTTCTCCAAAACTGGTCCTGTGAGAGAAGGGCACCCAGAGGTGGGAATGGCTCAGGGAGCAGACTTCTCTCACCGCTAGCCTCAGTGGTGCGGGCTGGCCCGGCTGGCCTGGTGGGCCCTTGGGCAGGAGATTCAAGCAACAAGTGCAGCCTGGGCCTTGGCCTTTCACGACCTTCCTCCCTAACCTCAGGTCTCCGAGTGTGTCCAGGGGACACTGTCCCCCCTCCCCCACTCCTTTCTCAGAGCATCTGGCCTGGTTAGTGTCCCTGGACAGTGGTGCGGCCTGTTGTGTCCTCTGAATGGTGGTGGCTGGTTAGCCTGGGCTTATCCTCAGGCCCGGCACTTGGGAAGAGGCACTGGGTGTGAGCTCTGCGCCCCTCACTGCTCTCAGTGGAAAGCTCTGCCTGTGGTCTCACTGGAACTGACAGCCCCACTGCTCCAGGGAGCCCAGGCCTCATCCCAGAGAGGAAGGGGGCACGCTCCTGGCACTGCCCGTGGCCGGGCTCTCAGACCTCCCAGCGGGAGGAAGGAGGCAGTGACAGGGCAGGAAGCAGGGGCAGGCGGTTCCACCCAGTAGGTGGGGCCCTCAGGATTGAGAATCTGAGAGTGGGACTGGATTTTCTTTGACTCTGAGATGCTGGGAGGTCTTCGTTTAAAACAAAAGAGAATAACCAAGATTTCCTTGATCTACAGTTGTCTAAATTTTACCAAAATAGGTTTCATTTGGCCACACATCACACTAACTGAGGCATCTTCGTTAAACTGGGTTCCTGGGCTCCCCCACACTGTGCAGAGTGGCCTGGATCGCGCGGGGTAAATCTCCCCGGTGACTAGGATGTGTGCGAGGGCTGAACCACCGGTCTGCAGGCGTGAGTTCGGGTGGCCTTTGTGTGTAAAGAGAGGGAGTCTATTTACAGTTACAGAAAGGGGCGCCTTGGAGAGTGAAAAGGTGCTAAAATCACTAAAACCAGACAGGCTTTTTGTTTTGTTTGTTTAATCCTTACCCAAGGATATTTTTCTTTCTTCTTTTGTTTTTAATATATTTTATTGATTTTTTACAGAGAAGAAGAGAGAGGGATAGAGAGTTAGAAACATCGATGAGAGAGAATCATCAATCAGCTGCCTCTTACACGCCACCTACTGGGGATGTGCCCGCAACCAAGGTACATGCCCTTGACCGGAATCGAACCTGGGACCTTCCAGTCCACAGGCCCACACTCTATCCACTGAGCCAAATCGGTCTTGGCCCCAAGGATATTTTTCCATTGGTTTCTAGAGAGAGTGAAAAGGATAGGGAGAGACACACGGAGAGAAACATCAATATGAGAGAGACTCATCAACTGGCTGCCTCATGCAGGCTCCCCAGCCAGGACCAGGAATTGAGCCTGCAGCCCAGGAACACGCCCTTGACTGGAATCTAACCTGGGACCCTTCAGTCCACAGGCTGATGCTCTATCCACTGAGCCAAACCATCATGCCCGTACAATTTTTAGAAAGAATTTTTACTAACAACTAGTTAGCTTTATTATATTCCTAACTATAAGAAGTTTATTTAAGTTAAAATTATAAGAATAATACTGTGTTACAAATAAACAATCCAGAGTGGATGTTAAGCTGCACAGATTGCTGGATCAGCAGACACAAGCCAGACTGTGCGGGCTGCCTGGGATCTGTGGCTGCCCTCGTTCTAAGAAGTGAGAAATCTAAAACTTAAATGCTCTCCCTTGATACTGCCCGGCATGCTGACGGAGATGGCCACCGGATTTACCTAACAGCCCTGCTTAAATCGCAGTGTTTACTAAATAGGCTTTTTGGAGGATTGACTAATCCAGTAATTTCAACCTGATGTGAGTTGCTGCCTCTGTTTAGCAAGGCCTCTTTGGGCTCCTGCAGTTCTGGGGTCCCCCCAAAGGGGGCGCTCTAGGCCAGCAGCCCAGCCTCTGGTGGGAAATGCCCTGTGGGACAGGGAGGAAGAAGGGGGTGGGGGTAGGGCGGTAGGAGAGGAGGAAGTGGCCATGAGATTTCCTCAACTGTGAGGAGCCACAGGCAAAGTGGTGGAGTCGGTGAAAAGCTCCCTGGAATGTGTGGGTGGATGAAAACCACCACAGAAAAGAGACAACAGGAATCGTTTATTTCTTTTGAGCCTGAAAAATAGGTGGAAACAACGGTACAAAATTGACACTTCATTATTCTTTGTGACTTCAGTGTGACCATGCCTATGGCCCCTTCTTCGCACAGAATACCTGAGATGCCATAGGCCTGTTCTTGCCCAGGGGGTGAGTTCTTCCATTCCAGAGACACCATCTGCCCCCTATTGATTGACAGCTGACTTCAGCATAAAGCAAGATGCGGTCCCAGGAAGGGGGCACCCCACTGAGCTTTCCCAACCCTGGGCTGACCCGGAGCATTTGCTGCCAGTCCCCACACCCCAGGAGCCCACGGCTGAAGGGCTGAGGACTCCCAGCTGACGCAGGGAACTTCTTTCTTATCTTCCTCTGCAGTTCTTACTCCATCTTAAACGCATCGTCTTCCAACGCGCTCCCATTTGGTGATGGCATACTGGACAGGCGGTCGTATGAGGACCAGGGCCTGGGGGAGATGGCACCCCTCACCATCGTCTGTCAGCCCTCGCAGGTGAGGCTACCCCCAGGGCACGCCCTCAGAGGCACTCAGGCTCCCTGAGCACCTGTTACCAAGGATGAGGCCACTAACACACATACACACTGGAGAAGAGAAGAGCGGAGATGGGTCCTGACAGCATCTGGTCTTGCTGTGAGGAAGGCTCTTTGTAGCAATCATAGGCCACGGTGAAGATCAAAGGAAACAAGGCAGGGAGTGGGTAAAAAGGTGAAGAGTAGTGAGAGGTGCAAATTCCAGTTATAAAATAGATATGTTATGGAGATGTAATAGAAAGCACAGAGAATATAGTGAATCCTATATACTAAAGAGGTAATGTGCAAATTGACCATCACTTCAACACACAAGATGGCCACCCCTATGTGGACACAAGATGGCTGCAGGGGAGGGCAGTTGTAGGCAGTCAGGCCTGCAGGGAGGGCAGTTGTGGGGGACCAGGCCTGCAGGGGAGGGCATTTGGGGGGGAACCAGGCCTGCAGGGGACGGCAGTTGGGGGGACCAGGCCTGTAGGGGAGGGCAGTTGGGAGCAACTAGGCCTTCAGGGTAGGGCAGTTAGGGGCAACCAGGCTGGCAAGAGAGGGCAGTTAGGGGTGACCAGGCCATCAGGGGAGGCAGTTAGGGGCAATTGGGCCAGCAGCGGAGCAGTTAGGCATCGGTTAGGCTGGCAGAGGAGTGGTTAGGGGATAATCAGGCTGGGCAGGTGAACAATTGGGAGTTAGCAGTCCTGGATTGTGAGAGGGAGTCCGATTGCCCATTTAAAAACGGGCAGTTGGACATCCCTTGAGGGGTCCCAGATTGGAGATGGTGCAGGCTGGGCTGAGGGACACCCCCACCCCCCATGCATGAATTCCATGCTTCGGGCCATTAGTAATATCAATATCATAACTCTGTTCGGTGACAGATGGTTACTTATACACCGTAAGGTATATAAATGTCAAATCGCTATGTTGGACACCTGAAACTAATGTACTGTTATATGTCAATTATACTTTAAAGAAAAACATTAAAGGCAGGAATAAGGCTGTTAGCACAGTACCTGGTGCACAGTGAGTGTTCGGTGTACATTGGAACACTTGGTATATGTCAGAAAAAAATGTAAAGTTGGGAGAGTAGTTTGAAGAATACAAAGGCAAGTTGTAAGTTCAAAACTGTTGAGGAGTAAGAGACTAGAAAACAATAAGGGAAGATGAGGGGAAGACATGCCACCACCCATATATTAACTTCCTCCTGGGAACCAAGGTAAATGCTGGTCAGCATGACACCCGTAGCCCTAGGGGAACTGGAAATGGCTCTTAGAGGGACATCTACTGCAACCCACCCAGCAGCTGTAGAGACCAATGTCATCTGGGCATGCTTTGACCAGACCTGCCTGTTTCATTACCTGATGTAGCACTGTCCTCCCAGGACCATCTCCAGGAGCACCAGCTTGTAGGAGTTGGACAATAGAGCTAAACCATGGTGAGAGCAGGAAGGCAGGCCCTCACTGCTGGAGGAGACCGCTGGACCGTGTGCTCTAACACATGCACGGAGAGTGAGGCAGACATGTTTGTGGTGATGAGCATCCTCACTCCCTGAAGGAGCCGCAGAGGCCTCTGTGGAGGGGAGTATGCTGTCCCACCACTGGCTTTCTCTACGAGCCAGCTAGCTTCACCTCAAAGAAGTAACTGCTCCTGCTGACAAGAGCAGCTGCACTGATAAGGCCGTTTTCTAACCCTTCTGATTTCTCAAAGCACCTGTAGTTCATCACATTTGAGCCTCAAAATAACCTGTGTGGTCTGCAGAGGATAGGCCAAGACCTACATTCACAGAACCTGCTCTGGCGCTCAGCTCGCCTGCACCTGGCCCGGCCTGTCCACTGTCTCGTGTTCTCTCCACTAACAGCTGTTCCTTACCTGCAGCCTCTGAAGGCCAGCAGCCAGCCTGGCTCCCAAAAGAGGTGCCTCTTCGTGTGTCGGCATGGCGAGAGGATGGACGTCGTCTTTGGGAAGTACTGGCTATCCCAGTGCTTCGATGCCAAAGGTGAGCAGCTGTTTGTCTTCTTTGGCATTGCTATGCCTATCATGGACTCTAGAGGGCACAGTCAAGCTGCATCTATCTAGATGGAGTGCTCATTTCTAGCTAAGAGGGTTGTAGAAAAGCCTGCAATATTCATAAGCCCTTCCTTGATCGTCTGGTTAGGGAACAGGTTAAGTGTTCTTGTCTAGAATCTGTAAACTGGGACACCAGGGGACAAAGATGGATGTTTCGCCCACCGTCACATGGCCAAATCAGAGGCAGGGAGGGGCATCCTGATTCCACGGCCAGTGCTCCCCACTCAGTTCGCCCTGACTCATGCTGGTTCCATTTCCTTTGAGTGGCCTATTTCACACGGGGAGGTTACAATTCAGAGCAGCCCCCTGCTGAAGAGTGTCTGGTTACTATTTTCACTTAACAACTATCTCTTGTCACTTTTGTCAGCAGAATAGAGGAGTGGATTCCCAGACATTCTAACAAAGGAAAAGTGTCGGCCTTGATATTTCCTAGAAAGCCCAATTTTGTCTCTTTGGCTAAAAAGGAATGGAAATAGAGAGGCTATCAGGATCAGCAGGGAAAATCCTAACGGAAACGAGAAACTCACATGGCCTTGTACGACTGTTTTCTAGGCCGCTATATTCGCACCAACCTGAACATGCCTCACAGCTTACCTCAGCGGAGCGGTGGCTTCCGGGACTACGAGAAAGACGCTCCAATCACTGTGTTTGGGTGCATGCAAGCAAGACTGGTGGGTGAGTGTCCTGGAGTAATCGCACCACTGGCTTGGCCACAAGTTCATGATCCTGGTCCCAGTGGGCATGCCAGGACACTTCTTGAAGGATTCCATTACTTCTCTACAGGTAGTACATTTCCTCAAGGAATTTCTTCTTTTTAAAAATACATTTTTATTGATTTCAGAGAGGAAGGGAGAGGGAGAGAGAGAGACATCAATGATGAGAGAGAATCATTGATCGGTTGCCTCCTGAATGGCCCCCACTATGGATTGAGCCCACAACCCAGGCATGTGCCCTTGATCAGAATTGAACCTGTGACCCTTCAGTCTGCAGGTACATGCTCTATCTACTGAGCCAAACCAGCTAGGGCTCTTCAAGGGACTTCTTATGTAACCATGAAGTTTAGGACACTGCATGTAGCACCAGATACTTTACCAAAGTGTGATTCCTATTGAGGGTGTATGGAACAGTGATGAGCAAGGTCATGCTTGGTGTGGCAAAGAGGTCAGCTTCTAGCACAAGGGTGAGGAGCAGGGAACCTTGGGGGTGGATGCATAGTGGCCAGTTGATCCTTTGAATATGCTCAGCTCTTTGCAGAGAGCCTACCTCAGAGAGACAGCAGCCTTGTCCTAAGTGACCTCACTTGTGCTGATGATCACTCTCTGTGCACGACAGTTCTAGTGCTGGGGATCCAAGCAGGAGTCCCCACCCTCAGGGAAACAAGCCTGTAAGTACATAAATGCCTCACAAGGTGGCATTCAAAAATAAAAGATGTACACAGAATTATGGGTGCAACGGGGAGACGAGGGACCCAATATGGCAGTGGAGTAGGTGGAAGTTACACTCACCTCCTCCCAGATCAAACTGGAATCACAACTAAATTGTAGAACAATAAACCTGAATGACCGACTGAAGACCAGTTGAACAGAAATCTTATAACCAAGGGTTTACAGAAGAAGCCGCATTGACACGGTAGGAAGGGCAGAGACATGAAAAGGGCTGACCCTGCTCCCAGAGAGTGGCTGTCCCATCTGCACAGTCTCCAGGCTCCCAGCCCAGAGCTCCAGAGCTGGGAAAAGGAGCCACATAATACCTGGCTGTAGCTGGGACCGGTTTGGCTCAGTGGTAGAGCGTCGGTCTGCGGACTGAAAGGTCCCGGGTTCGATTCCGGGCAAGGCATGTACCTTGGTTGCGGGCACATCCCCAGTAGGGGGTGTGCAAGAGGCAGCTAGTCAATGTTTCTCTCTCAGCGACGTTTCTAACTCTCTGTCCCTCTCAATTCCTCTCTGTGTAAAATCAATAAAATATATTTTAAAAAAAATACCTGGCTGTAAAAGTCAGCAAGGATTCTGTCTGCTAAGAAAAGATATGAGTCTCCTAATCAACCCAGGCGTCCTCTTAAAGGGCCAAACACACAAAATCTCATTTGCAGCCAGTTACCCTGAGCTCCCCACAGAAGAAAGAGACTTGGAGCAAATAAGGAACCGTGTGTGGCGCTAAGAGAGAGCTGAAGGGTCAGCTACCAGGGTCCATGAGCTGAGCCCCTCTCAGACACTGCCCACAAACACCGTCATCCTGGATTGAGCACTGCTCTTCATGCAACATCATCCTACAGCAGTGGTTCTAACCTTTCTAATGCCTCGGCCCTTTAATACAGCTCCTCATGTTGTGGTGACCCCCAACTATAAAGTTATTTTTGTTGCTACTTCATTACTGTAATTTTGCTGGTTATTGAATCGTAATGTAAATATCTGTGTTTTCCGATGGTCTTAGCTCTACAGCAGCGGTTCTCAAAGTTGCAGTTATGAGGTTGCAACAAAAATAATTTTATGGTTGGGGTCACCACAACATGAGGAGCTGTGTTAAAGAGCTGCGGCATTAGGAAGATTGAGAACCACTGCCCTAGAGGAATGCAATGTCCCACCCTTCCAGCTCCCCACTGCCTGGCCCCACCAAGCTCATGCCAGCCAAGGCCTCAGTGCATGCTCGTTGGGTGGCTCTGAGGGTCGCACAGCTCAGGGAGAGACTGAGGCATGTGGCTCTATGGCATGGGCCATTTCCCCCCCACACACACCCCCTGGCACCACCGTTCTTGTGCAGAGCCCTACCTTCACATGGCTAACTCCTGGTCTCTTTGGGCCTGATGAACTCTGCTGGCCTCACCCTCTGTCTCTGGGAATAAACCTCAAAAGGTCAGCAGGCACACAGCAGGTGGCAGCTAGCTTTGGTGAGCCTCAGACTCCTGCTGTGTGGCTTCGGACGCAGCACCGGTGTGCATTTGAGCCTGTATCAGCCTGAGGAGCAGCTCTTACACCGACCTGCTGGCTCACTGAGAACCCACCTCACCTACCTCAGTGTCACCAGAGACTCATTCAGTTCCTGAGCCTAGCGGCAGGCTAATGCAGGTGGAGGAAGTCTTGGGGTGCCTTGTGCCTTTTACTAACCTGTCCCAGGGGCTTTGTGGAAGGGGCACAGCTTAGCTCCTCCCACGTTCATCCGGGCCCAGCAAAGGCAACCAATACACATGGCTTGCTTTGCAGCTTCTGACAGGTAGCCCAGGGTCAGTCACAGGAAGCTTCTGACATTGACCTCCACTGGATACTCTCCCAGGAGGCCCCAGAACCCACACATCCTGCAGGATTCAGACCACATCAAAGCACAATCCAATTAACGCCTCAGCCACACATCCAAAGGGAGATCTCAGCAGGCACCAGACCCCATGGAGGCAAATTCCTCTTCACGTGGTCAGCCTCCACACAGCAGTTTGTACAATATGGTCCGGGGTCAGTTCTCATAGTCAGCCACCCCGAGGATCAACCTCACCCACACAGGGGCCAAAAAGTAGACTCAACTACAACAGCAGGGCTCACATAACCCACACAAGGGACGTTCCAGGAGGACGTAACTCAGGTGATCAAGAGACGGAGCCCCATGGAACCTGCTACCATGACTGAGAGACATAGCAGATCTACCTAACACACAGAAACAAATACAGAGAGGCCTCAAAATGGGGAGACAAAGAGCATTGCCCCAATTAAAGAACAGGAGAAATCCATAGGAAAAAAAAGAATTCAATGAAATGAAGGCAATCTATCAGAAACAGTTCAATACAATGGTTCTAATGATGCTCAAGGAACTTGGGGGTGGGAGGGAATGGATTAACTTAATGAGAACGATAACAAAGACATAGCAAGCATAAACATATAAAAAACATAGGAAAGAATCAGTCTGAAATGAAGATTAAATTATTTGAAATGAAGAATATACTAAAAGGAATGAACAACAGGTGAGATGAAGTAGGGATCTGATGGGCAATTTCAAAAACAAGGTAGCAGAAAACAACCCCATGAGAGCAGCAAAATCAAAAGGGAACTTTTTAAAAATGAGGATAGCTTAAGGGACCTCTGGGACAACATGAAAACATGAAGTTTAATGCATCTGCATCATAGGGGTACCATCAGGAGAAAGAGATAGCAAGCGATTGAGAACTTTCTTAAAAAATGACTGAAAATTTCCCTCACCTGGTGAAGGAAAAAAACACACAATTTCAGGAAGTGCAGAGTCTCAAACAAGATGAACCTAAAGAGGCCCACACAAAGATACATTTTAATTAAAATGCCAAAGTTTAAAGAGAGAATTTTAAAAGCAGCAAAAGAAAACATTAGTTACCTACAAGGGAGCTCTCATCAGACTGTGAGCTGATTTCTCAACAGAAAATTTGCAGGCCAGAGGGATTGGCACAGTGTATTTGAAGTGATAAAAAGCAAGGATCTATATACAACCTAGAGTGCTCTACCCAGTAAGGCTCCCATTTAAAACTGAAGGAGAAAATAAAAAGAGCTTCCCAGAGAAGAAAAGGTAACAGAGTTTATCACCACGAAACCAGTATTATAATGTTAATGGGACTTCTTTAAGAAGAAAAAAAAAATAGAGGAACATAATCTCTATTGTATATAATATAATAAAAGTGTAATATGCACATTGACCCAAATGGCAGAATGACTGGCTGCTATGATGCTCACTGACCACCAGGAGGCAGACACTCCACCCAGAAGCTGCACCCTGGTGGTCAGTGTGCTCCCACAGGGAAGATCCATTCAGCCACAAACTGGGCTGACGGCTGCAAGGTCAGTGGCAGTGGCAGGAGTTGGACATAACCTGAGGGCTCCCAGGCTGCCAGAGGGATGTCTGACTGCCAGCTTACACCCAATCCCCCAGGGAGCGAGCCTAAGCTGGCAGGTGGACATATCCCTAGGGTTCCTGGACTGCAAGAGGGTGCAGGCCAGGCTGAGGGACCCCCACCGAGTGCACGGATTTTCATGCACCGGGCCTCTAGTCTATAATAATAAAAGTGTAACATGATAATTAGACTGGATATCCTTCTAAACAACCTGCCAGATAAAGCCAGGGCTGTGAGGGAAGCCCAGGTCCCATGTGCCTGCTGGTAGCCAGAGGGAAGCCTGGGCCCCAGGTGCCTGCTGGAAGCCTGGGTTTTGGGTGCCAGAGGAAAGCTGGTACTGGCATCTGGAGAAAGGAAGGCCTATTCTTTCACGTATTTTGTGCATTGGGCCTCTAGTCCTACCTAATAAAAGAGTAATATGCAAATTAATCATCACCCCGACACACCCACAAGCCATGCCCACCTGCCACACCCACCGACCAATCAGAGTTAGTATGCAAATAAACCCAACCAAGATGGCTACAGCCGCAGAAAGCAGGAGGGAGGCCTGGGTTTCCCAGGCAATGGAAGAAGCCAAGCTTTCCACCTGCCCTTGCTGGCCTAGGCCTTCATGTAAGGCTACAAAGTTTCAATTATAGAAGGTAAACAAATCCAAACTGAAATGGCTGCCAGCTCATAGCGAGGAGGAGGCTTGACTCTGCGTCAGGCTACAAAGTTTCAATTGTGGAAGATAAGTAAATTCCAGATACCAGGGACTCTGCTTGGGTCACTGGGGGGCATGGCCACCCTGCAAACCAATACAGGACCCTCAGGCTCCCCCCCCCCAAGGGAACCCCCACTCAGATCCGGGACACCCTTCAGGGCAAACCAGCTGGCCCCCACCCATGCACCAGGCCTCTATTCTATCTAATAAAAGAGTAATATGGAGATTGATCATCACTCCAACACACAAGATATCTGCTCCCATGTGGACACAAGATGGCCACCACAAGATGGCCAGCAGGGGAGGCAGTTGGGAGGTACCAGGCCTGTAAGGCAAGGCAGTTGGAGGCAATCAACCCTGCAGGGGAGGGCAGTTAGGGGTGATCAGGCCGGCAGAGGAGGGAAGTTGGGGGCAAATAGGCTGGCAAGGGAGTAGTTAGATATCAATCAGGCTGGCAGGGAAGTGGTTAGGGGGTGATCAGGCTGGCAGGCAGAAATGGTTAGGGGGCAACCAGGAAGGCAGGCAGGCGAGCAGTTTGGAGCCAGCAGTCCTGGGTAGTGAGAGGGATATCTGACTGCCCATTTAGGCCCCATCCCACTGGCCTAAATGGGCAGTCAGACATCCCTCGAGGAGTCCCAGATTGGAGAGGGTGCAGACTGGGCTGAGGGACAGCCCCCCCCCCCAACCTCCTTGCACAAATTTTGTGCACCAGGACTCTAGTATATATATAAAAGCCTAAGCAACTGTTATGGAGGAACATCTGGAATGATCATCCATTATGATGCACACTGAGCAGGCAGGCAGGTGACTGGTTAGGAGTGAGTAGGGAGGCAGGTGAGCAGTTAGGGACAAGCAGACAGACAGGCAAGTGGTTAAGGGGTGAGCAGACAGGCAGGCAGACAAGTGAGCGGTTAGAGGCCAGCAGGCAGGTGAGTGGTTAGGGGATTGGTCCCGGATTGCAAGAGGGATGTTCGACTACTGGATGTATGACTGCAGAGATTGGGCCTAAACTAGCAGTTGGACATCCCCTGAGGGGTCGTGGATTATGAGAGGGTACAGGCCAGGCTGAAGGATCACCTCCCCATGCATGAATTTCATTCACTGGACCTCTCTAGTTTATATATATATATATAAAAGCCCAAGTGACCAAACGACCTGGTTGTTATGACACACACTGGCAAAATTTTTGAGGAACCACAAAAGACCCCATCTAGCCACAGCAATCTTGAGAAAGAGGAACAAACTTGGAGGTATTACACTATATACTACCAGTCTATAGTAATCAAAACAGCATAGTGTTGGCATAAAAACAGACATATATATAGATCAATGGGCCACAGAGAATGCAGAACCCAGAAATAAACCCATGCCAATGTTGTCAATTAATATGTGACAAAGGAGGCAAGAACATGCAAATGAGTGAAGACAGTCAATAAGTGACTTTGAGAATATTGGACAGATACATTAAAAAAAATGAAACTAGACCACCTTCTTACCCCATATACAAGAATAAACTCAAAATGGATTAAGCCTGGTAACCATAAAAGTTTTAGAAGAACTATCATAAAAGGAAACTAAGGAAGTAAAATCTCTGATATTTCTCTTAGCAATATATTTCTCTGATATGTATCCTTAGGCAAGAGAAGCAAAATAAACAAACAAACAAAAAGTTTTTTTTTCAAACAAAAAATTTTCACACAGCAAAGGAAACCATCAACATCAAACAAAAAGTTTTCACACAGCAAAGGAAACCATCAACAAAACAAAAAGACAACCTACTTAATGGGAAACATCAGTGATACATCAGGTAAGGGGTTAATATACCAAAATTTATAAATAATTCATACATCTCAACACTGAAACAGAAAACCTGATTTAAAAATGGGCAGAGGATGCCCTGATCTGGCTGTTCAGTTGGTTGGAGTGTTATCCCAGACTCCATAGCGTTGCAGATTCGATCTCTCATCTGGTCTTGTATGGGTGGCAACCAATTGATGTTTCTTTCTCACATTGATCTTTCCCTCTTTCTCTCTCTCTCTTCCTCTTGAAAATCAATAAAAACATATCCTCTGGTGAGGAAAAAAAAATGGGTTGGGACCTGCATAGACACTTCTAAAAAGAGAACATGCAGATGCCCAATAGACATGAAAAGATGCTCAATGTCACTAATCATCAGAGAAATGCAAATTAAAACCAGAATGGCTCTTATCAATAATCAACAAACAACAAGAGTTGGTGAAGATGTGGAGAAAAGGGAACCCTCATGCACTGTTGGTGGGAATGAAGATTGGTGCAGCCACTATGGAAAACAGTATGAAGTTACCTCAAAAAATTAAAAATGAAACTGCTTTATGATTTAATGATTCCACTTCTGGGCACATATTTTAAAAAAAATAAAAAACACCAAAAAACACTTAATTCAAAAGAATATAAACACCACTATGTTCATTGCAGCATTATTTACAATAGCCAAGTTATGGAAGCAACCCAGCATCCATCAAAGGACAGTGGCTGAAGAGGAGGTAGTACATATATACAAAGGAATATGACTAGGCCATAAAGAAAAAAAAAGTAGTCTTACCATCTGGACCTAGAAGGTATTATGCTAAGTGAAATAAGCCAGTCAGAAAAAGACAAATACAGAACAGGATAAATGAACAAACAATATAGAAATAGATACCAAGAACAGATTGATAGTTGCCAGGGAAGAGGTGTGTGGAGGGAACTCAGTGGAAAGGTGAAGGATGTGGGTTTAGCCACAACCAGCATGGCTAGAGAGTAAATGAGACCTGAGTAGGAGACTCAGAAGACTGAGAAGAGAGAGAGAGAGAGAGAGAGAGAGAGAGAGAGAGAGAGAGAGAGAGAGAGACTCAGTAAGTAAAGCTGGGACCAGGTGGACACTGTTCTTGATGGAGAGACAGTGACTCAGAACTAGTGCAGCGTGTTTATTATATACAGTATGATACCAAGATGTTTTACTAGAATTTAAGACAAAGGAAATTATGTGAAATCATGCTTTAAAGATCAGGCTGCATTCTTCATTCTTGTGGCTTCTCATAATTGTCAGGACTGGCTGGCCCCAGATAACTGCATCTGTCCCTGGCGCCTGAGTGAACCTAGATAATGGCACCACCCCCTGGCGCCTGAGCTAAAGGTCAGGAGTGACACCATTCCTGCCTTTGGCAAGGTATATTTCCAGGAAATGGCTTTGCTGACAGTGCTAGATTCAGCTGACTACCTTTGCTCAGGGGCTCTCCACAGAAGGGATTAAGAAGTACAATTGGTAGTTACAAAGCAGTTGTGAGGATGTGAAGTATTGTATAGGGAACACAGTCAATAATACTGTAAAAACTGTATGGTGCTGGTGGGTACAGGAGATATCAGGAGGGACGTCTTGCAAGTATGACTTCTTACCCTTATGCTGTACACCTGAAACTAATACAAAATAACGGTGAATGTAAACTGTAATTGAAAAACGAAATCTACAAAGACTACATTGATTCAATCTTCTAATCAAAAGAAAAAGAATTATGAGGGCAAAAAAAGTGGGTAAGAGAGGTAAGCTGCAATCTGAATCAAAGTCAGCTGGATAGAGAAGGAGCAGGAGGGAGGGAAGGGTTAGTCTCTGACTTCCTGTTACTCTTCCCAAGGGCATTCCCAGGGAAGAGCAACAGGAAGTCAGAGACAGGAAGAGCAGCATGGGGTGTGGATTGAGGACTGTCTAGTTTGTAGAGCGTAGATTGTGGTCAGGGCAACAGAGGAGGCTGGATGATGAATAAAGACCAGTCTGGGGAAGACCTTGACCACTGTGAGGGAGTTTGGACTTTACCCTGTGGAGGGAAGGAGTGGGTTCCAGGAGACAGTGTTGAAGTTTTGGGTGTTGAGATTTACCTCTGGTGTCCAAGAATATGGCCATGAATATGTTTAGCACAGGATAAAATTAAATCAAGACCCAATTTTGAGAATATAACCCTTCCTACTTTTAAGACAAACTTGAAATCAGGGCATTATATGCTTCTAGATCTCCTAGATGGACACTTTGTCACTTGGTAACACCAGAGAGAAAGAAAGAAAAAAGACAAAAAGGAGTCTTTTGGCTTCTTTGCCTACAAATAGATCTCTCCCTATCAAAGGATTTGTTGGAAACAAACAAAGCAAAAAGGCAGAAACTGCTGGCTGAATATAATCCCTCCCAGAAAAGAAGAGGCCAGCAGGTCCCTGCCCTTTGCCCACACAGAGGCTGAGTCCATCAGATTGATTCTCCTTTGGTTTTCATTGCAGGTGAAGCCTTATTAGAAAGTAACACCATTATTGACCATGTCTATTGTTCCCCATCCCTGCGCTGTGTTCAGACTGCACACAATATCTTGAAAGGTAAGACTTGGTAAAGGTCAACTAGTCCATCCTTCTGTCTCCAGGCAGATTCCTTGACTCATGGGATATTAGCCAAATCAAAACTTCAAATTTAGAATTTTTAGCAATGATTCTTTTGGGAGATGTCGCTTTAAAAGTCTCCAAATCATATGCTACCAGCACAAAGTGTGATGAAAGGATGTATACAAATAGTTTTTTTGAGAATGTTTGGATTGCAGGCATGTAAAGTATTGTCTGCGGTGGCTTAGAGCCTGCAGCACCCGGAACAGGGCGTCTCCTCCACGGTGCTCTTCCTCCTGCTCCCAGGAGCAATGGTCCTGGTGCCTGCAAACCCCAGTCATCAGTTTCTTCACGGGAATATAGAAGCACCATTGTTATAAAGGAAATCCTAGGAGCTGGAGTTCTAGGGATCACCATTCTTGTTTCACTGGAAAGAAACTAGAAGAAACTACCTGGGACCGTTAACTTATACAAAATAAGGAATGAGTCAGAAATAGCTGAGCTTACAAATAATTTACACTGTATTAGACTGCTATTCTTTAGTTTTAAGTAAACCAAGATATATTTACATATTAAAATGCATTATGTATTAAATTTGCATAGAAAAACTTGGCTTAAGGCAATATAAAGAGGGTTAATAGGGACCAATTCCCCACTCTGGGGGTAAGTACACAGCAATAAAACACAAACTTGTACACTGGCACTTGTTAATAATCAACATTGGATGCTCTGATAGAGAAAGTGAATAATTTACATGTAATTCAAATAAAATGAAAGCTACTGTAGACTAGTGGATGCTAAGAATCTCTCAAGTGTCTTCATAAGACAGTCTTGGCACTTACTTATGAAAAGGAATCGTAGCAGTCATAGAACTGTATAAGTTATGGGGATAATGACTTAGAGTTTATTTCTAAATCATACACCACTTCAAGCTAGCATATGTCCATTCTAGTGGTGTGGCCCAATATTCAACTCATACATTTGTAACTCCAAAAATTAATCACCTTGTCCAAACTCACATACTTCCACTTTATTTTACTCTACTAGTGTAATGATATCTGGTTGAAAAAGAATGGAAGGTTGCCCAGAATTTTTACCACAATTTGGCTTCTATTTACTTTTTCTCTGAGAACATAGTGGTGTTTCCTTCACTTTCATTTTATTTTACCTCTAAGGTTTACAACAAGAAAATCACTTGAAGATCCGTGTAGAGCCTGGCTTATTTGAGTGGACGAAATGGGTCGCTGGGAACACATTACCTGCGTGGATGCCTCCGTCAGAGCTAGCTGCAGCCAACCTGAGTGTTGATACAACCTACAGGTAACCCTGAAACTGCTGCTTCCTATAGCAGGCCAGCTCCTTCAGGAGATGAAAGACCTGACAGAGCCCACAGGCATGATATCAAAATCCCAAAGTGGAGGAAGCCAGAATCCTCTTGTACACATTGGATTTTCATGACTTTATTCGACCTCTTTCAGTGAATAATAAAACCACTTTGTGTCCTAGGGTCAGGCACCACTCCAAAGATGAGAGAGTTCCAGAAGCTTGTTGGGAGATAAGGGAAATGACCACGTCTTAAATTGTCATATTTAGTTTTTCAAAACATTTTTTATTGCCTGAGCGAGAGGAAGAGAAACGTCGATGTGAGAGAAACATCTGTCAGTTGCCTCCCGCGAGTACCCAGACCAGAAACAGAACCCGCCACCTTTTGGTGGGCCACACCAGCCAGGCGTCAGACATTTTTAATTCTCTATCATTTATTATTGCCATCATCCCAGAATATAAACAAGCCACTTTTATATATAAGAGATTGCAGTTGGCTTTGCCTAAAGTTGTATGTCTATTGGGCATTTATCACAGTAATAATCATAACTACTAGTCTTTATTGATCATTCTCTGCATGTGAAAGACTGTGTAAGCTCCTTTACAGTCTTCTTGTTCTTAGTCCTTTGCTTTTCTCCATTGAACCAGGCTGTGCTGAGGTTAAAAAGAAGTGTTTGTACATTGATCACAAGTGAATAACCCAGATGTAAACAATTCAGAATTACCAGTAATGATATAGTTACATTACCTATCAGAAATTCCCTCAGACATTTGTAAAATGTCTTTGAGGAGGGACACATATATAGTCATAATTGTTATGGTGGGAAATTAAGTTCATACTCTTAGGGCAGAATTTAGAACAAATGACCAATATAAGCAGAGATTTCTTCCCTGTGATATTCTTTGATCTTTCAATTCAAATATCTATCTAAACTACAAATTAAGTCATATGAGCTTCTAGCTAAGATAGGAGAAAACATCTTTTTTCCCCATACTCATTTTCATGCTCTGCAAATAAGATCTCATAAAACCCCATAAATAATTAATGTGCCTACTTCTCGCTTAGAGGAATTTGCATTCCTTAAAAATAAAATTAAAGCCCTTACTAATATCCTTCAAATTTTGTCCTGTTCGCACTATTGTCACTTGTTTTTTTTATTCTTTGAGGAAAACAGCAATAAGCTGTTGTCTCATGCCAACAGTCATCATTTTTTCAGGCCTGGAAAGAGGGTGAATTGCTGCCAATATTGGTAAAAGAATTTCCTCACTCACCACCCAGCATCTCCCAGGTCCACTTGGGCTTCAGCTTTTCCCTTAAGTGAGTCCTGCAATTCTTCCCAAGCTGATTTACAGATATCTCCAGGATCTTTCTATCTGAGTTTGAATGCATGCAGACACCTCCTGGCACACATAATCCTCACACCCCATTAGTAGTATAAGCCGAATGATGAATACCAGGAACTTGGGAGTCAGAACAGGGTCTTTATTCCAGATTTTCTCTTCCTCTACAGAAAATGAAAATCCAATCATTTTATTTTTAAGAGGGGAAAAAGCTTCAGTCTCTGACTTTATAAATCAATTGTGAAAGTCAGTAATTTATCACATACATGTGAGAGCTACCACCTGGGGTTAAATTTTCTCTGTAATTAGTTATGCACAGAATTGGGCCTTTAGAAGCAAGCAGTGATACAGATGACTGAAGAAACAGAGACAGGTAAGGACTGACAGGCTGTTACAGGTAAAGCAGGCACTGTTTGAAGAGCCCTGTCACCTTAGAACAGGATGAGGCAGGGCTGAGAGTCAGGTGAAGGGAAACTAACCAGGCTGGTGACTGATCTCCAGTGTCAGGTCACCCCCAGGCAGCAGACATCACTGGGGGTAGAAAGCATGCCCAATCTTAGGGAGCTGGACCCAAAGGAGCAAGGCAGAAAAAATATATACAACCATTGGATGGAATAAGGTTTTGACAGAATAAGGTTTTGACTGGGTGTGTTAGGAAATGGGGGAAGGAGGGGGCATGGACTTAGAGTGTTACAGGGGCGATGATTCAAACTTTGTTGTGGGGCTCAAAGCAGAAGCCTAGCCCTGCTAGGTGAGGAGACGAGCATTTACTGGGGAGAATCATGTTCCAGGGATGGTTCCTGAGCACCCAAACCTCCGGGTTCCAGGTCTGGTTGGCAGTTGGAGGCCACCTGACGCTGAGGTATGTGCCCTGTGGGTGTGGCTAGAGATTGGCACATGCTGCTGACAGGGTGGGGAATTTTTGGCTCTGTCCCATGCCCATCGGGACTGCTGCTGGCTCAAACGTGGAGGTCCTTCATGGGTTCAACTTCAAGTCAAGAACTGCCAAAGGTGCTCCCCCTCGCTGTCTCCTCGGCCTGCGCTGCTGCTCCACCACTCTGTCAGCTCCACTGCCTTTCTGCCCGAGCACCGCCCGGACGGCCGCCATGGCGAACATGGTCAACATGAGGCTGTACGACATCCTGGGCGTGCCACCGGCGCCAGTGAGAAGGAGCTAAAGAAGGCGTACAGAAAATTAGCCAAGGAATACCACCCTGATAAGAATCCAAATGCTGCCTAAACCGGTGTGGCTCAGTGGATAGAGCATCGGCCTGCGGACTGAAAGGTCCCGGGTTCGATTCTGGTTGAGGGCATGTACCTTGGTTGCAGGCACATCCCCAGTAGGAGGTGTGCAAGAGGCAGCTGATCGATGATTCTTTCTCATCGATGTTTCTAACTCTCTACCCCTCTCTCTTCCTCTCTGTGAAAAATCAATAAAATATATTAAAGAAAAGAAAGGAATCCAAATGCTGGTGACAAAATCAAAGATATAAGTTTTGCATATGAAGTACTATCAAATCCTGCGAAACACAAGTTACATGAGGGATATGGAGAACAGGGCCTGTGGGAAGGCCTTGGTGGAGGCGATGGCATGGACGAGATCTTCTCTCACGTTTTCGGTGGGGGACTGTTTGGCTTCGGTCGGGGACTGTTTGGCTTCGGTCGAAAGAGCAAAAGAGGAGAAAATACGATGTATCCACTTAAAGCGTCCTTAGAAGATCTGTATAGTGACAAGACCTCCACACTGCAGCTTAGCAAGAACGTGCTCTGCAGTGCGTGCAAAGTCACGGGCTGTTCTGAAGAGCAGTGCCGGCCGGGGTCGTGGCGTCCGCATCGTGATCCGACAGCTGGCCCCGGGGAAGGTGCAGCAGATGCAGTCCGTGTGCTCCGACTGCACCGGAGAAGGAGAGGTAAATGAGAAGGACCGCCGTAAAAAGTGCGAAGGGAAGAAGGTGATTAAAGAAGTCAAGATACTCAGGTCCGTGTGGACAAGGGCATGAAGCACGGCCAGAGGATCACGTTCGCGGGGGAAGCAGGCCAGGCCTCAGGAGTGGAGCCGGGAGACAAAGTTCTCTTGCTACAAGAGAAAAAAACACGAGGTGTTCCAGCGAGATGGCCACGATCTGCACATGACGTACAAGATAGGCCTCATGGAGGCCCTCAGTGGCTTCCAGTTCACATTCAAGCACCTCGATGCCCAGCAGATCGCGGTGAAGTACCTGCCCGGCAAGATGATCGAGCCGGGTGCATCTGGGTGGTTCAAGGTGAAGAAATGCCACAGTATCGTAACCCCTTTGAGAAAGGCAACCTGTACATAAAGTTTGGCAGGCCGTTTCCTGAGAACAACCGGGTCAGCCCCAACAAGCTTTCTGAACTAGGAGACCTTCTGCCATCCCGACCAGAAGTCCTGAACATCACCGGAGACACGAGGAGGTAGAGCTTCAGGACTTTGACAGCACTGGGGCTCAGGAGGCTGGCAGAGGCGTGAGGCCTACGACAGCTCCGACGAGGAGAGCAGCAGCCACCACAGCCCGGGTGTGTGGTGTGCCCATCAGGGAGCCACACAGCACAGGCGGGTCTCCTCCGTATGCCCGGTTGGTCTTCAGTGGCCCAGCCAGAGGGTCTGTCGACCCGAATGAACTGATGGATATCTCCTGGTCTATGTGTAACTTTAAAGTAGGCATAGTAACTACAGAGTGTATAATTTAACTAGCCACAGAAGTCTGCATCTTCATCTGACTGGTCTGTTCAGAGGAGAGCACTCAAGGAGGCAGGACTGACACGTGTTCCCAGGCCCGCCTGGTCTGTGCATGGTTTCTATCTGTATAGATTTTTGTTCCATGTTTGCACCTCACAGCCCATGTTGTAAAGTTTGTGTCCAGTATATCGTGGAGCTTGTATTTGGCTGCACCTGTATCATAAGCTGCTACAAGCAGAATAAAGAGTTTCCATGCTCCTCACATAGGTGCAAAGATGTGGGCTTTGCACATAGGGCTTGGAGCTGACTGGGAACAGTGGGAATGACATCAGTGGTGGTTGTCATGTTGTTGGTTTTTTTCCCCTCTTTTTCTTATTTTTTATCATCTTGTGAAAGGTTTGGAAACTCAGTAATAAAAAAACAGTTGGTGTTAAAAAGAAGAAGAAGAAGAAGAAGAAGAAGAAGAACTGCCAAAGGCAAGAGCTGGCCAGGAGGAACTGGATCCCAGCAGCCACTTGTTCTTCTTCATATATATATATATATATATATATATATATATATATATATATAGATAGATATTTTACAGAGAGGAAAGGGGAGGGATAGAGAGTTAGAAACATCAATGAGAGAGAAACATTGATCAGCTACCTACTGCACACCTCCTATTGGGGATGTGCCCACAACCAAAGTACATGCCCTTGACCAGAATCGAATTGAGGACTCTTCAGTCCATTGAGCCAAACCAGTTAGGGCGACCACTTGTTCTTTACTTACAATGTGGTTTAACTTTTTAAATGACTGCATGGACCATACAAAGAGGCCTTTTCTCCTAGGGAAAGGGAAGTGCAAGACCAGGCGATGTAAGTGGTAATAGCACTAGGTGAGAGGTTGGAGAGAAAGAGTTTGCTCCAGAACAATGAGGTGCATCCTTAATGAGTGGTGATCATGTCTCCCCAAA